CCATTTCAATAATAAACATGTCTTACAGCATTTCTCTTACACGAAGAAGTATAAAAAATTGCAAATATATTTTCTGTATTCTTTACCTTTTGGCAGTACCTATATTTGTGAACAATTATTTTCAAGAATGAAGCATACAAAAATAGGACAAAGATTATAGACAAATATCTTGAAAATGCAATTAAGATTTGCAACCTCGTCTATTGAATCCGTTACCAATTTGCTTGTTCAACAAAAGCAAATTCATCCATCTCTCTAATTTGAATTTTTTCCATCTTCATGAAAGCCTAACTAACTCTTCCAAATTAATAATAGATATGTAACTATGCATATGTAATTCAAATTAAAATAATAATAATAATAATAATTTTTTAATAAAACAACATAGAGCTAATTTTTTTTCAATTTGTTAAAAAATATTGTATATGTAGCCCCGCAAATTTTTTGATTTGCTATGCGGCTCTCAGACGATCACAGTTTAGACACCCCTGGTTTAATTTTTTTTCAATGCAGACGAGCGAAGAAAAGGTCATCGTGTATACTTTCAAATAATTTCAACAAAGTGCGTAAACCACATTTGGCGTTATTAGCGCTAAAAAAAAAAGATGCCAAATTTCAAAACGCGCCAATATGAGTAAGTTTAATAAAAAAAAGATATAGTAATAAATATATATCAAATTCAATTAACATTAAGGAGCTAAAATTTTGAGAGCTAATTTTCTAAAAACTACTCGTGCGATTTTTACAAAACTGGCACAATTTGATTCGTAGAATCGAAATATGGAAAACAATTGATATGTCGTTTCTGAAAATGTTCAATTTTTGTGTCAAAATACCTATATTAGAACAATGCTATATATACATGCGACATGCGACGGAGGACGTGGGCACCACCCCTTTACCATATGGTTAATTGGTGTAGCGCCACGTCCACCAGTGTCTATATAAATATCAAGGACTCGGACAGCTAGGTGCATTAGATTTCACTTATTGCGCCTGACTGGCGTAAGATAAAGTATTCTACTGTACAAGGTTATATACATGCAGGGGTAGGATATGGAAACAGTAAGATGATAATGCATAAAACAATTATATGTGGAGATATGCTGAAATATAACATACCAACACAGATATCATAGATACATTAAACATACGTTACATGAAAATCAATAACTAACATACTATTATACCTACATTAATCAAACATTACCTAAATATCAAAGACTGAGGCACTAGTTGCATTAAAATTTCACTTACTACTCCACACAGGGGCGCGTTAAAATATTCTATGGTACATAGTTATTTACATGCAGGGGTAAAACATGGAAAAAGTTACTTAACAATTATTAACACCAATATCATAAATACATTAAACTATTGTTACGTAAACATTAATGACTTGGATACTATGTTTACATTGGACAGACATTGCATGGATATCACTGACTCAGACGCCGTGCATTAAGCTTCACTTATTGCGCTACACAGTCACTTATTAAAGTATTCTATGGTACAAGGTTATATATGTGCAGGGGTAAGTAAGGCATAGAAAACAGTTAGATAATAATGCATAAGACAATCATATTCGGAGACATGCTGAATTATAAGATACAAACACAGATATCATAGATACATTACACATACATTACATGAAAACATCTTAGATACATTACACATACATTACACACACGTTAGATGAAAATTAATGTCTAAAATACTATATCTACATTAAAAAGGCATAGCCTAAATATCAAAAAATGAAGGCACTAGTTGCATTAAATCTTCCCCTAAGTGCACCACACAGGGGCACGTTAAAATAATCTACAGGGGTGGACAAAAATATGGAAACACCTTTAAAAAAACATGTTTCTTTGCTTAATATGGTGTAGGAAACTCGCTGGCATCCAAAACAGCTTGCAGTCTTCTCGGAATGGATAAATACAGTTCCTGTATGTTTGCCAAGGAAATATTATACCATTCTTCCTGCAAAACCGTGGCAAGTTCACATAACGATGTTGGCGGTGGATAACGAGAACGCACTTTCCGTTCCAATGTAGACCACAAAGGTTCGATAATATTCAGGTCTGGTAACTGTGGTGGCCAGGGGAGATGGGACAAGTCATCCTCGTGCTCAGAAAACCAGTCCTGGACAATGTGAGCTGTGTGAACAGGTGCTTTGTCGTCTTGGAAGACACCATCACCATCGGGGAACAATGTTTGTACCAGAAAGCTTCTACCATGGGATGAACTTGATCGGCCAAAATGTTCACATAAGTCTTGGCAATCATGTGCCCTGGCACAGTTATCATGGGGCTAGCAGAGAACCACGATATGGCTGCCCAAACCATAACAGAACCCTCGCCATGTTTCACTCTTGGCAACAAGCAGTCTGTATTATAGGCTTGAGATGGCGTTCTCCAGACGTAAACTCGGCCAGAAGTGGGAAACAATGTGAAAGAAGACTCGTCAGACCATATTACTCGCTTCCACTGCTCTATAGTCCAGGCTTTATGACTTAAACACCACCTTTTCCTGTTACGGGCATTAGCATCACTGATGAGTGGCTTCTCAATTGCAGTACGGCCGGCAATTCCCTGTTTATGAAGCTCCCATCTAATTTGTTTGATACTCACAGGGTTCGGTAACACAACATTCATTTCAGCAGTAACTTTTGCAGCTGTGGTCTTCTTACTTTTCGTCACAATTGCCCTTGATGATCGTCTGTCACGATCACTCAGGACACATTTTCGTCCGCGCTGTGATTTAGCAGATGATGTTTTTCCGCTTTTCAAATATGCGGAATAAATCTTCGATACAGTACCTCTTGAAACACTAAACACCTCGGCTACCTTGCTTACGGAAGCACCTACCATACGTGCTCCAACAATTTGCCCACGTTCGAAGTCTGTTAACTCTGACATAATGCAATGACAACCTCACATAACAGTACTCCGACAACAACTGAACTGTTTAGCACATTTACGAAGTTGTATAGGTGGCGTCAGTAGTCGAAAACGCCAGCGCCACCTACATATTTCATTAAAATCAATCTTTATTTTCAAACATGCATTTCACAAGGTGTTTCCATATTTTTGTCCATCCACTGTATGTACGTAGTTATTTACATGCAGGGATGAAACTTGTGGAGAGTTACATAACGATTATGGAAACAATATTATATAAACACTAAACATATGTTACATAAAAATTAGTGACTGAGATACTATGTTTACATTAACCAGACATATATCAAAGACTCAGATGCTGGGTGCATTAACTTCACTTATTGCGCTGCTCTGGAGCATGTTAAAATATTCCATGGTACATAGCCATATACATGCAGGGGTAAAGCATGAAAAACAGTTACATATTAATGCATCATACAGTCATATGTAGAGACATGCTTAAATATAAAATACAAACACAGATATCATATATACATTACACATACATTACATGAAAACCAATGACTGAGTTTGTCTACATTAAACAGACATTATATATATATATCAAGGACTGAAACTCTGGTTGCGTTAAAACTTCACTTACTGCGCCTCACAGGTGCGTGTTAGAATATGCTATGGAACATAGTTATATACATACAGGGGTAAGGCACGGAAGACAGTTACACAAAATTGCATAGGATAACCATATGTGGGAGCATGCTACAATACAGAATACAGTCCCTGATATCATGGGTACAGTAAGCATATGTTACATAAAATCGGTACAATAAATAAACCATTGGACAGTTATATGAAGAAACCATGCTAAAATATAAAAAACATATACAAATATCATAAATATAAAAAACATATACTGAGTACAGTCAATAGTTTAGACACTATATTTACATTAAACACACGTTACATATAAATCAATGACTTGAACACTGGTTACATTATAGCTTCGCTTACTATGTTGGAGTTACATCAATACATTTGAACTGTAGTATAGCACATTTTGTCTTAGACACACATACGCGCAGTTTGCAATTTGCAGATTACATTTGGAACAAACTTACAGATACTATTGCGTTTTAATATTACATGTGCCTACGTGGTTTGCATATTGGGTGTAAAATCAGACGCAGAGTTTAGGCGCCCATTCATTACAAATTTCACAGTACTTGTAACGTTATGCAGTTCATATTGCATTGGGTATATGCAAGTGTGCTTAGGCTGTGCGAACTGCTATATTTGGCATAAGTCTGTGTTTAGGTCTGCCAGCTTATCCATCATACGTCCAATTTTTTGGATTAAGTGGCGCTGCTTAATAAGGAATTTACAAAATGACTGTCTGTTAGTCGTTGGTATAGGAACATGTTGTCCCTCTGTGAGTGGATAAGAAGTTAGGTAGTGCTCCGGGAAGCCTGTGTGTCCACACGTACATTGATCTGAGGAACAGATGCCAAATCGGTAGAAGTATACTGGAAAAGGTCCATGTCCCGAAATGTACCTAACCAGCTGTGAATTGGCAATGTTCCGTTCTGTGCCCACATAGCTGATGTGGTAGTGGACACGTCTTCCAGTGGTACTGTCATCCCATTCTTGTTGCCACTTTTCAATGGCTTTAAGTCCTAGTGATTTCTTTAGAAATGTGACCGGCCATGGGATATTTAACTGCAAATCTGTCGGGCCTAACGCCGCTTCTTTGGCAAGTTGGTCCTTCATCTCGTTTCCGAGATGACCCGCATGTGCTTTGATCCATTCAAGCTTGATGTGCAGGTTGCATTGGCGCAGATTTGCTTGAATGCCCTGTACTATTTAACTGACATGGTTGGGGTTCATGATGGCATGCAACGACGACAAACTGTCGTTTTTGATGGTGGCATTATGGATGTTAGAGGAGAGCAAATAGTTAACTGCTTGGGCAATTGCTATCGCTTCTCCTTCAAAAACACTGTTATGCTGCCGCAGTTGTGCCGTCCATCTTGCTTGAATTGCATGACACAACAACATGGAGAAAAATAATTAATGTGATGAGAATATAGAGTTGAGATGTGGTATACTGAAGATGTGGTTGATTTTTCATTGTTAGAAGGTATTGTGGAAGACAATGTTGATTGTAATTCTGACACTTCAAGTAGTGGTTCCGAAATTATACTACCAAAGAGACGACGAATAGTAGTTATTGAAAGTGAAAGCGAAGAGTCGTCGGAAGACTTAGATGAATGGCGCGATTTCACGGAATAATTAGATATTCCGGATAGAATACATTTTAGTGTATCGCCAAAGGTCATTGGACCACAAATTCCTACAAATATTGTACAGCCGACACAATATTTCAAATTATTTTTCACAAACGAACTGGTAAGTGAAATTATAAAAGAAACCAACAATTACGCAGAAAATATTCTAAAGAATAAAGAAATGTCTAGTAATTCTATTTGGAAAACGTGGCGTGCGGTGGAAGAGGATGAGTTTTGGGCTTTTCTTGGAATTATTATCAATATGGGTACGATATCCCTGGCGAATATGCAGGATTATTGGTCAGTTAAGGAGAATAGTCACATCCCTTTCTTTGGTAAAATATTTAGAAAAAAGAGATTTATGCAGATATTCTGGATGCTGCATTTAAGACTCAGGCAACTCCGGCACATTTACGCAGCGGAACGAATGTGAAGAAGGCAGTGGTATACAAAAACGTGTTACGTGTACAAAAACGCGCTATACGGCGGTTAAATGTCATATTCATCGAACTTACGCCGCATAAAATTCAATTCAACAACAAAAGCCACAAAATATTTAAAAACAGTGTATCTTTAGAATTTCCGATAAACAGTCTCGCGCTCTGGAGATTAAAATGTTTTATTCTGTACACAGATGTCGCGGCTCAATTTCAAGTTGATGAGTTTGTTAATCAAAAATTCATACAAATTTCACAAAATTTGAGATTCCTCATTACTTAGGCATACTAGCGGCCGAGTGGTAAAATTCACTGAACATTCCTAAGTGCGGTCCAAGGTTCGAATCCCGTGAACGAGCTGGCCTGCATGGGCGTTTTCGTTGTTTTTCCCCATGTGTAAAGTGTATGCGAGCCTGTTGCCTTAGAAGATCCTCCATGAAGGCGTCCCTCCTCTTAGGCGGATAGCTGTCGAATGCTTCACCGCAACCAAAGTATCACATAGCAAGATTTATCATTTATTTTTTTTTTAAATAAAACTAGGTGATAATATGTGGTGGCAATAATTTGGAAAGTGACCGAGTTACGTGTAGTGATTCAATGAAAAATACCGTTTCGATACTACTAGCCCTGTTGTGCTAAAAACTAAAGATATATAAAGTTAAAAAGCGTAGGTTAATAACACAACTTCATTTTAATTCTAACACCGCAAATCAATAAGTCCGCCTCTTTACTATTTAGTATAAGGTTACAATGTGTTTTCCGTCTCCTTCCAGCATGCCTTCATGTTGTAACCGTAGCATACTCAGCGCGTTTATTTGTCACACCAAAGGTTCGAGTCCCACGAGGGCATTGCTCATTTTGCATGACTCCTGCTTGATAATCCCAGTGGAAATCCCAGTGCTAGAAAGATCCCAGTGGCTGTACAGTGGCGCCCGACCTAAAAGGTGGTGGATGATGATTCTTCGCCTCCAGGATTTGGCGATTGGGTCTCCTAATTCCCATTCACCCTTTAAAAGGAGGAGTATATAAGATATTTACTTCTTCCTTTTTGAATGCCTTGGTGGTGTAACAGTAGCACACTCGGCGTGTATTCGAGAGGTCCGAGTTCGAGTCCGTGCGAAGGCATTGCTCATTTTCCCGCACATCTCCTGCTTCAAAAATAGCCTAATTTCTCTACAAATAGGAAAAAAAAATTAATAGAAAGCGAAAGCGGAATTTTAGCTAAATCGTAGAAACATTAGGTTAATTGCAGAGGCAAAAGATGAAAAATAGGCAACCGCCTTCGCCGGGAATCGAACCACGGACCTCTGAAATACCGGCTCAGTGCAGAACCATTACACCACGAAGGCTCGCTTGGGAAGTGGAAGAAATACCTTATAAAATATATGAGGAGAGTTGTTTGTATTGCTCGTTTTCATTTTTAGAAGCTGCATTTTCTGTATGTATCTCATTGACGGAATGCAACTCCTGGGCAGATTTGTTTCACACGCTGAGAAATTCAGTCTACTGAAAATGGATAGTTGAGAATAACAAATGATACTCGTGACTCAGGAGGGCTCGCTTCATAACTTCTGAACACTTATCATTGTGAATGATCCCGCGAGTCGTGCAATGATATTGAACTCATTCCGAAGTCCGCAGCGAAATCATTTCCAGTCCACGACTTTGGAAAACGATTATATTTGGAAATGATCACTTAATTATAATGTATAATACTCTCACTCTAAACTGTTTTGCTGTCGTAAAATTCGTACATTTAATTCGATATGAAATTATGTACATCTTATACACAAAGCCTTGCAATTGGTTTTGGAATATTGTCGACCCAAATCAGATTGTTTTTAAGTGCCCGGAACGATATTTAAATGGCACCGCCGCTCATAATTTCACAAAATTTGGTTAGATTACGCATCAGGTTCAGGCTGGAAGTGTAGTGGGACATCCAATGTTTACTCTAAGTGATGTAGGTATAGTCCCACTACGCTTCGGTTTAAAGTTAGTATTTATAATAGTACATAATAGTATATTGCCATTATGATTGATATCATATCTGTTAGATATAATTATTAGATCATGCATCATTAATTATCATACGAATTATAACAAAGCGGAGGTTATTGAGGCATTAAGTCTTTCTAATGTCAGGAAAGTGAAAACTGTGCATTTCCCTCGCCGGGACTCGAACCTGGACCTCTCGAATACGCGCCGAGTGTGCTACCGTTACACCACGAAGGCACATGCAGAAAAGAAGGAGCGGGGTAAAAACAATTTATACTCCCCTTTTTAAAGGTCGATGGGGATTAGGGGACCCTATCGCCAAATCCTGGTGGTGACAAATTATTGTTCACAACCTTTTAGTTCGGGCGCCACTGTAGAGTATTTAGGATATTTTAGACCAGAAGATGTGAAAAATGTGCGATGCTCTCGGCGGTACTGCAACCTGGACCTCTCGAATACGCCCCGAATATGCTACCGTTACACCACGAAGGGACGCAGAAACGAGAGGCCTTTTATACTCTTCCCCCTTTATAAAAGGCGACGGGCAATAACGGGACCCAATCTAAAAGTAATTTATTTTATTTTATTTTATTTTATTTTATTTATTTATTTATTTTATTTATTTATTTTTTTTTTGTTTTGTTTTTCTCGTTCTTTTCTGTATGTCATATTTTAATATCGTTTCTACTGCCTTCCTCTCACTGGTATATGTCTTTCTTTGTATTGACAATTTAAATTGCGTGTAAAACGATTCTGTTGCATGATGACTTACAATGCGGAAAGCCGACTTTACAGGTTGTATAGAAAGTTTAATTAATAGTATAGGGGAACATTCATTTATTTTCTTATATTATCATAAAACATTTGCTTGTAATTGAATGGTCATCTATCAATTTTTGCCTCAAGCACTATATCTAAATGTATTATATATAATTTAAGATAGGCAGTTAGTCATAATATTGAGTTTTTGATATATATCTTTTTATTGATATTAATGTATTGTATAATATAATATCAATTGAATGTCTGAGTTTTACAAACTTATTGGCTGCTACATTATACATTATACTGAAATACTATACATTCCTTTTACAATATAGTGTGTATTACATTACATACAATTAACATTCTTATCCTTATTTTGTCTTTTGGGAAGAGATTTATTTCCTTGGAATACAAATATATTGTTGGCATATTTAGTACTCTTTTCAATATTCATGCTGTTAAACTTATTATATATATATATTATTAATTATGTAATTGTAATCCTACTTTGTTGAGTTCTAATAACTACCATTCTTCATGTTTAATTGTTGTAATTTTATATACCTGCAATTCTATAATTTATTGATGCATTTTCCTTGTATGCTATAATATTTTGCAATATCCATAGATGTTCAGTATAATTATGTCACTTATTGCAGTATTTCAATAATTAATAATATAATCAACATAGTGACTCAGACAATCTTATATTTAAAGCCCTTTAGAAATTTTGAAATTTTGGCACAATTATTCTATTGGTAATATCTATTGTGTTATACCAATATTGAAAACATACTGCTTTGGACATTATTCAATGTGACATGTTTGAAATTATATCGTAATATATGTTTTCATCTGTGTATCTCCTGGTACTATTTTCATTAATTCTTAATCTTATCTAAAGTATTTTCCTTAAATATCTTTTTCATTCTTTTAGTTTTTATTAGTTAGTTTAGTTAGTTGTGTATGGTGTATTTGCATTTTATCATCAAGTCATAACAATTGTATTTACTGCTGTGCAGTTAAGGGCAGTTGTGTGGCCTTGTATCTTGTGTATTTATCTTAATAAATGCCCGGACGGTTGGATGTGTTACGTCTGGGGGACGCTTTTGGTCTGTGGACTGCTCTCTGGATGGCCCGGGCGCTGGGTCTCGCTTCCGGGTGTGGGGCGCCCGTGTGGCTCCATGTTTACGGCTCTAGATAGTGGTGGGCACGGTGCTTATACCGATTAACCACTATGGTAAAGGGACAGTGCCCGTGCGCCCCCCGTAACCTGTAACCTGTAACGGGACCCAATCGCCAAATGGTGGTGACAAATTATTATCCACCACTTTTTAGTTCGGGCGCCACTATAACGTATATAGGTTTTGTGAAAAATGAGTGAACAGTAGACGTGTGAACCGTTACACACGAAGGTATGCAGACCCCGATATTCCAGAGGTCCGTCCGTTCGATTTCCGGCGAAGGCGATGTTAAATTTTCATCTCTCTAGCTTTTCCAAAAATACTTAGTGTCTCTACAGTGACGCCCGAACTGAAAGGATGTTAGATGATGTTTCTCCTTACCCAGGATTTGGCGAATGGGTCCCGTAAAACCCCAGTCGCTCTTTAAAAGGGGGAGTATATAGGGTATTTCTCCCGCCTTTATAGCGTGCCTTCGTGGTGTAGTGGTTCTGACACTGGGCCGGTATTCCAGAGTTCCATGGTTCGATTCCCGGCTACGACGTTTGCTCATTTTTCATTCTTCTGCTTCCAAAAAGATACCAAATGTCTCTACAGTTGTCCTATCAGCATTTCCCACTGCCTCCCCAATGGGAGAACAATTCTGCACAAAATCACGTTCGATCAGGACAAGCGTTATGTGCTTTTTTTGTCCAACACGGCCTAGCAACGGTAATGTCATGTCACACACACAAATTGCATCCGTCATTCTTTTTCTGTTCTATTTTAATATAAGTTTAAATTTATGCATACAATTGCTAAATTATAGTTAACTTTATGTGCTGTACGTTTCAAAGGAAAAAATTTTTCCATCACTCTAATTTTTTTTCAATTCTTTTCAGTTCCATTATCCTGTGGTCAAGAGTTCTCCAGTGACGTCTCAAAGAACGGAACCTTCACCAGCCCTAATTACCCGGAACCTTATCCTGCGAATGTGTTTTGCGTCTACTCTTTTATGGGACGGGGAAAAGAAAGAGTACAGATCCTCTTCACGGATTTCGATCTTCATCTACCACATGAGCCGCCAAGAGAGTAATTAATGTTTCATATATTTAATATAAGCATTTTGTGTTGCTTATTTTGGCTGTGGCGGATTTAATCTGATTGTGATTAGCAATCGAAATTTTATGGAAGGAATACAACTCCCTTCCTTCTCTGAAAACATTGAAACTTTATTTTGGATACCAAAATATTAAACTAGTTTAAATGAAATTTTAGTTAACGAAAAAATAGCTAAAATACAATTAAATGCCTTATGTTCCTTTAGCATATGATAAAAAAATAATTATGTATGATGGGTGCCGGTCACTGTCGATGAAAGTTAACAGAGCAAGGATAAATGAGGTAGCCTTAATGAATTTTCTTAAATAAAAGAAAATAAAAGGTTTTATAAAATAGGGTTATATCTAAAACTCATAAAATTGTTATTAAGCTTATAAAGTATAGTTCTCTTAGGAAGCATACCATATAGACTTCAACAAGACTATTGAAGAATTATCTTCTAAACTTGGGAAACAAAACGAAAGTCAGAAGAACAGTGTTTAAGACCCTTTTATTCGAACTCAAAAATTAACAAAGAACCCAACCTCGATTTACACAAGCCAAGCACTTCTGATTTAACAGAAATACGTAACATTGAACAATGTAGAGATTAGCCTAACGTCTCACAGAATAATTTAAAACGCAGAAGAGGCTCTGGTTTTTAAAAAACCGGCAAGTCAAGCTAAATGGCTAGAACAACGCCATATAATAAAATCGCTAATAATCACGGCACAACGTGGCTTGGAATAGGTAGACACGCTCTGAAACTAACCTACGAAACGCTTGATTAAATAGCACTTCTTTCTACCTTAAATAAACGCTCGTTATTTCATTTACATTCTGGCATGAAAAGCGTGGGTGAAAAGAGAGCGATACTAAAATTTAAAATAACTATTATAAGGGGCCTCGTTTTAGATGGCGTCGTAAAAGAGTCCTTTATTGTGGAACAATAATTTATTAACAGGTTTAAGTTACACACGGACAACAGACATTACATTTAACTTTAAGAATTTAAGAAAATTACGGAGCAAGAGTCTGGTACACCCTATGAAGTTTATTACTTGGCTTTTTCTGAAGTACTTATCTGGCTGATCACCAGAGGGCTCCCTCGTCGTTACAGTTAGTCCAACAGTTAATATTATCAGCAGAGTTTATATTAAAAGATTGGTTACACTATTAGTTAAAAATAAACAGATAAACCTCAAAAGCTGAAAAATAAATTTATCATACAGTTTAATAAGAACAAGAGACCAAATAATTATCTTTACAAAATTCATCTACAATTTTATATCACAAATAATAAAAGAGTAGGACGCCCTTGATGACTTATGTTTCTTTTCGATTATTCGATTCTTGTTTCTTTGTGCTTAAGCGCTTACGCTTTTATTATTCATGATGTAAAACTGCAGATGAATTTTGTAAAAATAAATATTTCAGCTCCCATTAGGTAAATTATTTTTTACCCTTTGGTTCATAATGGTTCATGAATTTTAAATAAGAGCTTATTTTATAAAAATCTATATTTTAAATTTTCATCCTTTCATTCTCTAGTAAGAGTTATCAGTCAAATTATTCATTTGTAATGTTCCAACCTAGAATTTACAGCTAAATGTATGGAACCATGAGAACTGGTAAGCGAATGATCGCTTTAGTTCAGGAGACAGACACTTAAACTTGAGCAGGATTAATCACCCTTTATTACTTAAAATAAATCTCACAGATGGTCCTTTCTCAGGGCATGCATAAAAGCCTCCACTTGTGCTTGAACTCAAGAATAATAAGAAAGAAATCTTAATTAATGCTTAACTAAAAGATATACTCGAAGCTATGCAAATTCTACAGGAGTTGGCCCCTTAAACGTTAACTAAACAAGGAAGCTATTAAGCCTAGAAGCATAACCGCGATTCTGAAAACACATTCTGGTAGGAAATTGTAAGCAGAAATTAGGAGCGACAAGAAATTGGTTTTAATTGAAAGTAACTGTTAACAACTTAGGATAAACCTTACCACATTTGAAACCCTTTTCAACAATGAATAGTTACTCTTTTAGGATCATCATTAAAATTCCATATAAACTTCATTTAAAAGACTTTTCCCGTTTGGATGGTGCAAACAGTAAAATTCTGAGAATTTTAGTTCGTTCATTCAAGAAAGAAAATGTGAAAAAATAGTTCCGACATCCACAAACAATATGTGTTGAACTCGATAGTTTCTCAGGAAATACTTTAAAAGCGATGACAGACTATTGTCCCTAGTGATGCCAAAGAGCGTAAATGAACTAAGTGAAAGCTTGTGGTGAAATTATGTAGCATATATACATATTAAACCCCGTATGTAATTATTTTTTATCATTCGTTAAATGAGAATGAAGCATTTAATTATAAAGAACCCAGGAAAGAAAAGTTTAAAAAGAACAATAAATACAGATAGATATATATCAAAATTCAATGTATTTATTTCATTGTGATATATATGAAAATAAGAATATATATGCATAGATATATGAAAATAAGAATAAGAAATAATAAGTACTTTCTATATGAGGGCCATTTGCAAACCGGACTATGTCTGGACGATACTATATCTCACCCCAAACGATCGAAAGCATTACTGACATGTCATAGTCCTATCGTTTCAATGATTTGGACACAAAATCTAAAGAACTCAAGTCAGAACCAGTCACGAGACTTAAACTAACTTTATACTAATATTTTGGTATCCAAAAAATAAAAAGGAATGCTTGTTTGAATTTTTTATAATTTTTATTAAGTGTTTTGCTTTGTGCCATGCTTGTTTGAATTTTTGTTCTAATTTATTTTTAAGTATTTTGCACTATAGAATGCTTGTTTTTAATTTTTTTCTAATTTATTGTCAATTGTTTTGCACTATAGAATGCTTGTTTTTAATTTTTTTCTAATTTATTGTCAATTGTTTTGCACTATAGAATGCTTGTTTTTAATTTTTTTCCTAATTTATTGTCAATTGTTTTGCACTATGGAATGCTTGTTTTAATTTTTTTTCTAATTTGTTGTTAAGTGTTTTGCACTGTGGAATGTTTGATTTTAACTATATTTTTCTAATTTATTGTCAAGTGTTTTGTATTGTGGAATGCTTCTTTGAATTTTTCTACTATTCTATTATTAAATGTTTTGCAATGTATGGTCAAAAATGAAATCAATGTAATCGAAAGATCATTGAAAATTATGCAATGATGAATTGTGGTTTAAATGTAGGGGATAATCATAATACGTGTTTCAAGTCAATATATCAATAAGGATTTGAATATATTTTAAAACCGCATAAAAATTACACGAATATTTAAATGCGTTTCAGTATAACACAGGAATTTTGAACTTTTAGTGCTCTTTAGCCTTCCTCCTCAACACGTGTCTGAATATCTTTTCCCGCTTACAGAATTTTTTAATATTATTTTGTTTAGAAAATGCACTCTAAGTAATAGATAAGAAAACGGAGATTAATTTTAGTGAGCTATAGAGGAATGTATAAAATTAAGGTTTATTATATTTAATGTAATTACTCGCATTATTATATTTTATAAATATAATCAAGGAAATCTTTCTGTTAATTTCATCTCATTTTTATGGTGCCTAAATTTAACTTTTTTCAGTCCTTTTGGGTGATCAGTTAGGCCTAGTTGCTATTTGCCTCATAGTTGGAGACACATCATCTCACAGTTTTCTCACGCATGTTTTTTTTAAAGTGCATATTCAGTCCCCTAGTCTAAAACGGAATAGTGGGGTCTTTGATTCTCTAAAATTTCTCCTTTGATGAGACATTTCTATATGTTTGAGAATCTCTGATGTAGCATTTTATCACTGCTTGGCAGAAAACAAAAGGTAAAGAAGCTTTGCGAAAGTTGGGTAGTTTTATGCTTGAGACTAAACACTTCTAAGATTTCTCATATTTCAATATATAAGTAAACAGCAGCTGCCCTCTACAGGTGTTAGCCTGGACGATGCCCTCTACGCATTGTCCAGGGTCTTTTTGACTGTCGCTGAAATTTCGCTGCTTATGGTTTTGTATGTTAGGGAGTGCGTTGGTTGGGGCATAAAACATCCTTCCTCTGCCAGTCTGTCCGCCTGTTCATTTCCTGTGATGTCGCAGTGCCCGGAACCAAATTATACATGAATATTTCTTGTCTCCTGTAGTTTGAGGAGTCTTTCCTGGAACTGGGCTACAAGATGTTCTTCAGGGGTTTCTGCCCTGGCGATCGCTTTTATTGCAACCGTTAAATCCGAGAGAAAGATTACTTTTGTTTGATGTGTAGGTGGTAAAGGGCATTTGCTGCCTCACTTATAGACTTTATCGTCTCGAAGTTTGTCATTGATTTGCCAACAGGAAAAGCTTCTTTGGCGAGGATGGAGTAAAAGCCGCCCCACTAGTTTCGCTAATACACGTCTGTGTACACGTCTGTGTACGTAAAAGTCCGTTTGGGTCCAGGGTATTTTGTAGCGATCATTTCTAGTGTAACTACTTCCAGCACGTATAGACAGACTTCTGTCTTTCGTTCATCTATACGCGGGAGAGGGATCCAAAACGGTATCTCAGATGTCTCATGGCTGATGCGGGTCTTCTAAAGGATAATCTTTGGCTTGCGTCTAAGTTATATTTCTATAAGAAGCCTTTAGCCTGTTCTAGCAATGTATTCTGAGATCAGTCTTCTGATGCATGGCGTTCCCAGAAGTGGTCCGGTATCCTTCGGCTTCTTTCACAATACTTCATAATTGCTTTGTCTCGGCCGTTTTTAAAATACTCTATTTGTGTCTGGAATACAAGAAAGATGATTGGGATGGATTTCGCAGCCCCTCAGATTATTCGTAGAGAATAGTTTCTTTTTTAGGGCTTCGCTAGTTTGGAAAAGGCTTCGCATTCACATTCCATCGGTGGTCTAATGTATGCCTTATAGGTGGTCGCAAGGACATCCTGCGTTGCACCTTGTTTGGTTTCTGTGAGTCATTTCAGTATGTATG